GTGGTGTCATGGCAACCAGGAAGCAGGAGTGACAGTTGGAGGAGAGAACCTTGTTGGGGCTTCTCTTTTTCCTGTTTTATTCCACTTGGGCACCATCCTATTGGATGGTGCTGCCACATTCAGGGAGTATCTTCCTCAATTAGTTCCCTCTTGAGAAAGACATTCGGAGGTGCAGGTCACTGGTCTCCTAGGCACTCCAATAAGTTGACAGTTGAAGCTCACCATCCCCAAATAACATCAAGAAACACAGAGAAATGCAAAGCATGATCCCAGAATTCGTAAGTCACATAAGAAAAGAAAATAGGAAAGCTAGACATGTCACCTGTCTTTCTGCCGCCCTCAGCTCCCCCAGAGTTATTTAAGTTTCTTTTGAAGCTTTATTTTATTTTATTTTATTTTATTTTATTTTGCTCTTTCTTTACTTCTCTCATCTATGACTTTTCCCATGCTGGGTACCTTTCTCTTAAACAGACTTTTCTGTCTGTGGATTTATTAAACTCTTACAGGGGTCATCACTTCCCCAGAAATGTTCTCAAACCCAAACAGTGATGGCTTCTACAAACTCTCAATCCACCCTGGACACTATTCAGCCATGTGACCCATCACCAGGCCCTCTCTCAAATGATCCAATCTGTCTTCTTACCAATCTGTGAGCTACTTACATATGATTCACTGGTGTATCCCTGGTGTCCTCTACTTTGCCTAACGGAGAGTGGGTATTCAACAAACTTTTGGCAGACCAATAAATAAAATAAGTGAAGGCAATAACTAGTTGGCTTTGTGCTATTCTAAGTGTGCTCCTGGTTGTGGTTCAGGCATACCACGGGGTACAATAAGCTTCTTGTGAAGGATAGGGAGCTTATCAGGAAATCCTAGAAGTAATGATGAAGAGCAAATTCCTGAGAAAATTGGGGATCTTCTAGTTATAGAGATTTAAACCACAATTACTTAATTAGAATTGTGATTCTTAAAATATGCTTCAGGGCCTGGGGAGATGGTTCAGTGGGTCCAGTGTCTGTCATACAAGCATGAGGACCTGAGTTCAGATCCCCCAGTATCCACATAAAGGCTTGGCATGCTCACATGCATCTGTAAGTCTAGTGCTGTGGAGATGCAGATAGGAGGATCCCAGGAACTGGGAAGAAGACTGTCGTTGATTGTGGACTTAGTGAGAGACCTGGTCTCAGAAGATAAGGTGGAGAGCTGAACAGCAGTAGACAATACTCAGCATCAACTTCGGGCCTCAGCAGGTACCCACATACATGTACAAATGCACCTGTACACACACAAACATGTGCACACATTTATTACACACACATCATAAAATAAAATTTTTAAAAATCTACTCCAAATAATTTCACATCCATATAACACGACTTGGCCTCTGTTCCTCTCCTCATTTCATTAACATTCCCACCACCATGACCATACCTTCTAATGCCATCTGTACACTAGAGAATAAGCAGAAACAAAGGCAGGAAGTGGTCTTTCTGACATCTTTAGATGGAGAAAAGGGCCTCCAACTTCTAGCCCCTCTAAGGGCTAAGTAGGTAAGCCATATAGCTAGTAGTTAAGCTATGTAGAAGGAATTCCAATCCAATATCTGGTTGCACCATCCATTGCTTCATGGAACTTGGCTCTAGAACCAATCTTATGAATGGAGCGTATGCTCTCCTGGACCTCTTAAACTACTATATGCCACACAGTAGGATTCCCAGAGATACAAAATGACCTTCTGGTTCCATTTGAATAGTGCAGAACATTTTTCAAAGTACACAGTCACATAAAGTCCTGAGAATCCTATAACAATTATGAATTACCATAACCTAAGTGTCTGCCAACATAAAAGTCAGTGATTCCCTAAATGGGAATAGAAATCTGACTGTTGCTGCTAGGGAATATTTCTAAGGTGAAAAAAGGACAAGCTAATTCCAGATGAAGGGCCAAGGGTCAGGAGCTCCATAGTTGTTTTGCAGCTTTGAGTTCATTAGGCTATGGGTACCTGGAAACATCAGCCCCTCTGGGAGGGTGCCCACTACTTGCTTGGTGTGCAGACCTGGGGAAACTGCTCTCTTTCAACTGTAGATTCCTTCTCCAACTCCCAGTGCAACTGAAAAAGCCCTGCTGGATCCACTTGTGCTTTCTTAAAGTGAGAATATTGTCATTCTATATCATTTGGATGACTGAATATCAGAAAGAAAAAACAAAAGTCTTAAAAAATATGGTGGCTGAATACAAATGAAGTCTACGTGCTATTTATAGAACTGTATATACACAGGACTGCAGAGCATGGATAAGGGAGTGTGCAGGATTTTAGTGGCTTCTCACAAGTTTACATTGTCTCAGACTTCGTTTTAAGCATATTTACCATTCTGTTAGCAGAGGCAGGGCTTATTCAACCTTGCACAGTCCTCCATTTCCTCAAGACAACTGGGCCAGATATTTGCCTTATTCAACTGACTCATTGTGGGACAGCTTGAATCAGCCTATTTAAATTGCCTACTGTCCCCACACTACTTATGCATCATGCAGATACACTATGGTGACCACCTCTCTGCCATAGCATGATTCCAGAGAATTCATAAGTCCACCAATAAGAGCTCCTCTTGGAAACCCACTTGGGTCACCCTAAGGGATTCGGCCCACAGACCCATTGCTCTCACTGTCTCTTGATCCCCACCCACTGTTGGAGCATGCTGGTCCAAGAGGGCTGTCCCTTCCCACAGCCTGTTGAAGTTCATTCTTCTTTCTGGAATCCATGGGTCAAGAGACCACCCCTGCTGTGTCAAGTGTTCAGATGCTCTGTCCCACTGCACTGCACCAACACAACAGAACCTTCTCTGCTGTGCAAAGCTAGAAAGTGTCTATTTGGGGGAGGGCTTGGGGGGACAGGTACAAGTGAGGCAAGAGCGACTAGAGCATCTGCCAGGACAAGCAAGCATGGCAGACACACCAGCAACAGGCCATCTTCTAGGAAAGGCACATTGTAAATATCCACAACCACGTCCTCTGGAGTCCCCTCAGGGCAAAGGACAGGGCTGGAGGTTACAACTACTGTCCACGGGGAGACATCAAGATAAGTAGAGGACTATATTAACAGTGCTTTTGCTCCATACCTCAGGGCCAGAGATGCTGCCACTTCCAGGTGTGATCTCATCACTCCAGGGAAACTCGATTCTAGTCAAGCACAAGGCAAAGCGCTCTGGGAAGTGATGGGCATCACTTCTGCTCACTTGTCAATTTCTAACCACAAGAAAATTTGGGAAATGTAGTCCAGTCATGTGTAAAAGAGGGGGGGAGAGGGAGAGAGAGAGAGAAATGTGGATTGATAAACAGCAGCTGTTGATGAAAAGTTGGAATTTTTTTAATGAATAGTCTCATTGTGTAACTCTAGCTGACCTGGGACTTGCTGTATAGACCAGCTGACCTCAAATTGATCAAGATACACCTTCTTCTGCATCTCTAGTGCTAGAATTAAATGCCCAGTGAAAGTTGGGTTTTTATAAGTGCATTTGTGGAACAGTGTGTTGTATGCAGTAACAAGCTTAAATCCAAAGAACAAAAACAGACCTGTAATCCAACCTTGGCACCCAATCTGCCTATAATTCTCTAAGAACAAGCAAGTCACAGGTTCTAACCTGGGTCAGGGAAACCAAACACCACTTTGGTCCACTTCTCCTTTTCCAACTTCAGCACTTGCCACTCCACAGCCTTCTTTCTATTTGCTCTAAATGAGCTAAACATCCAGCCCTGAGTCTGAAGGTGCTCCTGTACTCCCTTTAGCTGCAACTCTGATAAACTACTGGCTCATTCTGCCTGTCACAACACAGAATATGCCAAGCATTGCATGCTGACGGCACTGTAACCATAATGAGCTGCATAAATGCACACTGGTTGGAAGGAGGTCTGATTGCCCAGCACGTCCATTTGCCTCTTGTTCTAAAATGATCAATCATTTTCTCAGATTTCAGTGAAATGGCCTAAAAGAAGAAAACAAGAACCCCAAGCTTGGGTACAGAAGGGAGGGGTGCATGACTCAGGTGCTAGTGAGCAGGCTGTCTGCTCAGAAACACCCACAGCCCTGGGCCCTGCACTATTGTCCAGAAGCTGAGTGGGCCTCCCACAAGATTGAGTCTCTGCAGGCACCTTGCTCCAGCCAAGTCTCATGTGCAGACATGCAGCAGCAATCTGAGCCTTTTCTGCTACAGAGTCCTTCCTGGACCCACCATCAGCTTCTAGAACACCAGCTTCATCCATTCACTCTCTCCTTCAGCAGCTGCTGTGCAAATACAGCAACCCAAAACCTTTCACCCATTCAGATCCTCCCATCCAGCAAGCTCATTCTCAGTAATCTAGCCTCAGGAAAGGAACCTGCATCTAGAAAGAGTCGTAATACTCCAGTGACGACAGCACAAGGCACACACAGCTGGAATATGTTCGCCAGTCCAGTAGCAATGAAACTACTCCAATTAGAGTGACATACAGGAGAAACATTGAAATACACCTTGGCTATTAATTTACAGTAATAAAAAGTGAGTAGACTTGTTAGTGTTAAGGAAGAAGAAGGGGAATCACAGCAGTGGACGTTCAAAAGAAAAAGGGCAGCAGGAGGGGATGAGAAAGAAGAGGGAAAGATGGAGTCTTAGTGACATGGGACATTACAGATTAGGGAGCCTCGGCTTGAAGTACACAGAAACAGGCCCTATTTCTTGAAATTCTTGTAAACTGTAAGCCACTCTTAAAACATTTTTTTTTAAAGAAAGCATCAACAATTTTTTATGCGGAAGCAGTAGAGTACATCAGTGAGTAAAGGTGTTTGCCACCAAGCCTGATGACCTGGGTTGGAACATAGGACCCACATGGTAGGGGAGAGCTAGCTCCCAAAAGTTGTGTGCTGAGCTCCATAAACATGCATACACACACACACACACACACACACACACACACACACACACACACACACACAAACCGAACACGCACACACATATACATAAATGTAATAAAAATAAGTGCAAGGAGACAGTCTGGAGAAGCAGTTGGAGAACTAACTCTCTCCCCTGTTTTACCTCTGTCCATCATAAAGTCCCAGAAGAATTTTAAAATGAGATTGAGAGGGAAGGACTGATATGTCCAATATGTTGTATCTGATGATAATTTGGACAGGATTTAAACTCACAAATCCATTTGACTTCAAATCCCAGGCTCCTGTGTGTGATAAGCACAAGTTATTTATTGATTACTTTTCTTCAAAATCAGATTTTCCTCTGAAAATTTCACATATATAAAAATGCATGCTGATTGCTCTCATTCTCTATCCTCTCTTACCTCCCCTCACCCTTATCTATACCTCCCCTTCCCTACAAATATCTCTCATATTCTTGTCTTTTTTGTTTTATGACTGACTGATAACCAGGGATGTCTTGTGTCCTGACCTTGGGGTAGGTGCTATCCAGTAGCACCCGGTAGGCTCATCCATGGGTGCACAACCAACAATAGTGATCCCTATCCCCCAGGATCTATCAGTAGGCAATAGTTCAGCAGTGAGGGGTGAGGCCTCATGAGACCTTCCCCATCCATGACTGATTGTTGACAGGACCAGTCTCGTGCATTCTGAATATGTTCCCCTACCCAAAACTCACATTGGAAACTAAATCCCCAGTGAAGTGCTACTTGAGATCGGTCTTTGAGGATGTGTTTCGGTCTCCATCTCCGGTATCTCAGGTGTGGATCAATGTTATTTTAAAAAGGGGCTGCAGAATCAGGTTCATTCTCTCTTGCTTTTCCACCTTCAAACTGAGGAAGCAAACAAAACAGAGATGTGGTTTTAGACCCAGAAAATGTTTGAAAATTTGGAAAATTCCACCCCAAAATTCATCCGTACATTTTTTTCCTTGAAATATCAAGGAATCGGGCCACTATCAACCTGCATTCCCACCAAGCTGCAGCTCGACAGCTTTGGTCCATAGTGAGAAAGCCCTGTGCTCTCCAGTGTGGAGGACCCTGGTTTCTATTGTCTTCAGTCAGCTCATCTCTTCTAGGATGCTTCCCCCTGGCCCTATAGACACTTGAGTTTTCAATGCTTGCTTTAAACAAACTGCTTGGTTTACAGAGTCAAAATGCCTGTATGTGCTCATTCTTTGCACCAAAGAATGAAAGACGTCTGCAGCCCCGTTATCTCCAGGCTAGGGAGTTTAATAAAACCCAGCTAACACTGTGTGGGTTTAGCCCTAAGCATGCCAGGGGCCATGACTGTGAAAGCAGAACAAGGTGGAGGAGGAAGGGGGGTGAGGCATAGCACAAAGAGACGGTCTGGAAGTGTGACCCTCTGCTCCACCAGGCTGAGATAAGCTCCTCCATGAGCTGTTTCTGTGAGGTGAGGGAGAAGCTGGACTCACATAAGACACAAGGCAGGAATTCCTGAGCAGGTACACTGGATGAGCCTCTGTCGCATGAAACTTTAGCTCCACTCACTGGCTGGCTGTAAATTAACTCTGAGAAAACTTAGTGAAGCCCTCAGGAAGCCACAAAGTTCTTGCTTTGCCTCTTACGAGGTTCAGAATGAGAGTGGCCAGAGAGGCCCCTTTCCCACCTCCCCCTGCAGTGGTCCATGGCCCACTGTGTCCACAGCTGCCTTTCCAGTCTACTCCTGAGACTTAACCGGTCTAAAGAAAAGGCAACTCCCTCCCGAGCTACACTTACTCTGACACACAGGCCAGACTTAGGATTTTAGACAGCCTTTTAAGAAATACAGCTATGGGACTGGGGTGATGGTACAGGGGATAAGGTACTTACCCTGCACGCACACAGGTCTGAGTTTGATCTCCCAAGAACCCACGTAAAAAGGGTTGGGTAAGGGTGGCTGCAGGTGATGTTTTTAAAAAGTGGACTCGCAAAATTGGAAGGAAAGATGGCAGAAGCGAGTCACACATGTGATGTTCAGCAGCCTGGAGCTCCTGCAGAAACAGGTCATCACTGAATAGGGCCTGGGAGATGGAGAACAGGGGTCAGCAGCACTGCCCACAGGCTACGAGCACCACAGTCCTGCCAGGTCAAGGATAGGGTGTGGGTGGATGGTGGCCTGGAGCTCCCACAGAAACATGCCGTTACTGAATAGAGCCAGTTCAAGGCCAGCTGTCTGGCCATGAAGCATGGAGCCACTGCACCCTGCTGAGAGACAGAGTGTGGGGCATCAGTGTGGATGGGGCTACAAGGACAAAGGTTGCATGCCTCAAGCCTCCGGGGGCAGCTGACTTCAAGGGCAGGGAGGTGTGCAGGAGCACAGAGCTCACACTCTGGAGAACAGCAGGATATTTGAGATGAGTCTCAGTGATAGTCCAATATTTACGGTGCTTCAGAAACCTTGAACCAGACCAATGACTCATTGCAATGAATGTTTGCATGTAAAGATGTTTGGGGAAAAAAATATATTGTGTGACACACTGCAATTTCCAGTGCCGCTAAGACAAATGAATAAGCGATGGGGAGTTGGGAAAGATTGAGAAACGGAAAGGTGCATGCTCAGTGGAGACAGGTGGAACTAGAGATGTGACAGTGGCGACAGGTACAAGGGAAGGTTGTGGCAGACAGGGGACCATTTTGGTGCTGAGTTGGTTCATCAGGGTGGTGGGCAGCAGCCTGCCACTTGTGAAGACTCAGCCTTCAAACACACTGCCCAGCCAAACAATGACCCTGGCTCGGAACAATGACAGTATGTCCAAGATGAAGAATGGTTCATTTTCTGGATTGGACTTCCTTAAAAGACCTCCCTGGTCTGTGCTGCCCTCAGAGCCATGTTGGTAACTGTGCTCTGTGCTGCTAGCTTAGGCCGAGCTGAAGCCCTAGGTTTGTGTTGATGTCCATGGTCTGGGCTGCTCCTGGAGGTCATGTCGATGTATAAGGCCTAAGTTACCACCAGAGACTATGTTGATGTGTGTGGCCTATACTGCCACCTGAGGTCATGTTGATGTTGTGGTCCATGCTGCTGCTGAGGGGCATGTTGGGGCCCATGGTTCTGCTGCAGCAGAGGCCATGTTGAGGTCCATGTTACCATTGAAGGTCATGTGGATGTTTGTGGTCTGTGCTGCCACCTAAAGCTATGTTGATGTCCATAGTCCAGGCTAGCACTGAGGACCATATTGGTATCTGAGGTCCATGTTGCCCTAGAGGCCATGTTGATGTCACACCCCATGCTGTGGCAGAGGGTCATGTCGATGTCTGTGGTCTGTACTGCCACTGGAGACCATGCTGAGGTCTATGGCACATGCTGATGCCGAAGGTCATGTGGATATCAATGGTCTATGCTGTCACCAGAAACCATGTGGAAGTCTATGATCCTTGTTCCTGCTGACTATAAAGGGCAAGGAAGCTCCTTTTAAAGTGGTGTGGATGACTGCAGTTGAGAAAGAGAGACATAGAAAGCTTCTGTGACAACCCCTACTCCACCCCACTCCACCCCCAAAAAAAGTAACAGCCTAAACAGAAAGCCATTGAAGAGAACTCTTTAAAATTGTGATTTGGATGCTGAAGTATATCTCTCCACTTCTCCACATAGAAGTATATGGCTTCTAGAGGGGGTGTGTGTGGGGAAGAACTTGGTTTTCTTTAAGGGACTGGCTACTAGGAGTTTGACCATGCTCCAGTAAGTATATGGGCAACACAAATTGGATTTGTTTGGGTTTGGGGGTTGGGGAGTAACAAGGTTTGGGGGCAGACCTGGGAAGACTAGAAAGTCAATATGATCGGGGTACATTATATCAAATTCCCAAATAATCAATAACATTATTATGTTGGGAGGAAAAGGTGCTGGGTAAGATGTCATGTGTTTTAAACCCAGATCTGAGAAGTGAGAGAGACAGGCTTCTGGGGCTCCTTATCCAGTCAACCTAGACTCCTTAGACTCCTTAGCATGTTTTAGGACAGTGAGAGACTATCTCAAAAAAAAAAAAGGTAGATGGTACCTGAGCAACAACAAGATTGTTCTCCAGATTGTGAATGTGCACACACTACTCTAACCCACCCATCTGACTTCCCTATTATTCCATCTGGGTGAGTGTACATACCCATCCTTTACCAATTAGCTATATTGATTAAAGAAAAATAGATCCTTAATGAGAGAAAGATGAAAATAAGTGAACACCTTTGACAGATTTTTATGGGCTAAGTACTTAAGATTTGCTGTCTTCTATGCTAAGCCTCATTATCTTTACTTTGCAGATAAAGAAATTGAGGCTAAAAGATGCCAAGCAATCTACTTTGGATCACAAGACATCAACCAGGAGAAGTCTCTTCAAACTCAGGCCTCTGGTTCTACAATGCACACTGTAGCAACTGTTCTACCATATATATTCTGTGAGTGACAACTCCCATTTTCATTAAACAATGGCTGTGATTTTTGTGGAGGAAGAGATTGTGTAAGTAGCCTAGCCATTTTTTAATATATGTGTGTATCTATAAAAACTAACACACTTTGACACATGCCATTGTAGTTGAAATTTCCCTGTGTCCCACCTGGTCTGCAGCTGCTCAGATCCAAGTAAACACACAGAGGCTTGTGTAATTAAAACTGCTCAGCCATTAGCTCAGGCTAACTATTGACTAACTCTTACACTTAAATTCAGCCCAATTAATCTATATGCTGCCACGTGTTCCGTGGCTTTACCTGTATGCCATTACATGTTTCTCCCTGGACAGCAGGCTGGCATCTATCTGACTCAGCCTTCCTCTTCCCAGAATTCTCCTTGTCCACTTACCCCACCTGTACTTCCTGCTTGGCTACTGGCCAATCAGTGTTTTATTAAACCAATGTACAAAAGCATTATCCCACAGCATGCTATCTCCTTGCATTCACACTAATTAAAAAGAAAAAGGAAATAAAACCTTGTCCATCGTACAAATTTTCCTGTTTGGAAAATAGAGTAGAACTGATTCAAGTGAAGAAGCTCTTGAGCTGGAAGAATTACCCCAAAGGACACTACTACATTCTGACAGGACTGCAGGATCAGAGCTCCTAGTCAGTGCTTGTTTTGGCGAATACATTTCTGAAAAGCATAGTCACAAAGACTATAAACAAAGCCTAATTCCCAGCAATAGAGGATAGTGAAGAATGTCTGAGTTTGCAAACAACACAATACATTCAGTTCTTAACTATTTGGGCTGTTCAGATCAAGGAATTGGTGTGTGTATGTGTGTGTGTGTGTGTGTGTGTGTGTGTGTGTGTGTGTGTGTGTGTGTCTGTGTCTGTGTCTGTGTCTGTGTATGTGTTTGGATCCTTCATGTCTCTACCTCCCTAGCACAGGTACTATATCAAGTAAGCCATTCCAAACCCCAAGAAAGAGAACATTTTTTTGTCTCCCTTTGCTCATCTGTAAATTGTGAAGAATACTATTCCTATATCCAGGACTCAATGCAAAGGAAAGTATAAACCCTGTTCTATAAGTTATCAATCCTTAATGCATTAAAAGAATCTAGAACAGTTTCTTCTTGTTAGGGGTGTATGTATTTTAAATAAGAAAGCCCTGCAATGATAATGTTACAAATGTGTGTTTGTACACACAGATTTTATTTCAGCATTTAACCTATAGTGATGGGGCAGCATCTGAGGGTTGTCCCTGCACACATTAGATCACAGTGGTGAGTGTATTATTTACTATTATATTTCTGTAACCAGATACTTAGCAAAAGCAACTTTAAAAAGAAGAGATTTATTTGGGTTCACAGTTTAAGAGGCTGCTTTCTTTTATGGTGGCTGGGGTAGCTCTGTCCTTAGTAGAAGGAAATTATAGCACCATTTATTCTATGGTGCTGGCCAGGAAGTAGGAAGCATGGCAGGAATCCAGACCAGGCTATCACCCCCCAAAGCCCTATCCCCAGTTTTCCACCTCCTCTACCTCCAAGGAACCACAACCCCCATAACAGTAGCACATATTGAAGGCCAAATATTCAAATGTATGAGCCTGTGAAGGATGTTTCACACTGAAGACAAGAGATAGTCACTGATTAAGATGAGCTTTAAGTATGTGTGGAGTCACTGCACATAATCACACAGCCACGGACCTGCACACTTGTTTGTGGCACCATTCATATAAACTGTCACACAATGGTACTTGCTGGGCTCAGGCAGTGAACAACATTCACAACCAATGACGGCAGGTCTGGTCAAGCTTGTTAACACCAAATTAAAATGGATTTCCCTGTGACTGCTCATGATAAAGTATCATTGGTAAAGGTAGGAAATAGATCATTTTCTAGTCTACTTGGGCGAACCCCTCTTCTAAATAGAACAGAAAGCTGTCTGCTTTTATGCAGAGTTAGGTAAGAATTGGTTTTGTGAAATGGAGTCAATAATCATTGACCTCACAGGTCTTTTGTTTAAAAAAAAATCAAATAGCATCAAGACAGCACAAAATCTATTCACAGGCAAAGACTTGTCATTACTAAGGTGAAGAGACTTACAGAGGGCCTCTCTGAGGCCTAGATTTATGGACCCAGCCCCAATAGACAAGTAGACCACATGAAAATATCTTCCTTCATCTCATGTCCTAGAAGAACAAAATATGACAAAGAGATCACCAGGGCCAAGGCTCTCAGACTTCCTTGTGTGAGGATATCTGTGAAGCTTTAAAGATTGCAGTGAGCCAGCCATGATACATGCCCGTACCCCCAGATACCTCAGAGGTAGAGATTTGGACATCATTTGACTTCATGAATATGGTACCAGTCCTAACAACACACCTCAAAATAAATTCATTTAAAAAGTAGTAATATACATTCTCCCTCAAAGATTCACTATAGTCATTTGAGGGTAATATTCAGGAATAAGTATTTTTTTAAACTGTCCATGGGATTTTGATGTACAGACAAAACTAAAGGATTGTTTTTCTAGTTCTCAGTTCCATCTGAGCCATGTTTATACCATGTTATTCAACTTGGAGCCCATCAGAGGTCTGCCACAGGAGCAACAACCTCAAAGTTCTTCTGACATCTGTATAGGGTGTTTCAAACACCAGACATTTACAGGCACAGAATCATTTGGTTTTCACAAAGAGGATTCTCTTTCTCCTCTTTTGAAGATGAGGAAAGGCTCCAGGTTCTATATGTCTAATTCCAACAAGTAATTCACTTAAATAAGCAATGTAGATCATGCTTCCAGCAGTACAAATACCTCTGGGATAGGAAAAAGTCTATAAGGAATGGAAAAGAGTTCCAGAAAGAGTCCAAAGACTTAAGTTTCCAAGTCTAACACTCTAATCTTGAGCATGCCACATGTCTACTGTTAACACTTTGACCTGTTTATGAAATAGTCTGGCTTCCTGTACTCTAAGGTCTTCTGTAGTAGTAGTTTCTCTATCCTGCCCGCCAGCTCCCAAAAAATGACATGGAGACTTCTTATTAATTATGAAAGCTTGGCCTTAGTTTAGGCTTGTCCCACTAGCTCTTATAACTCAAATTAACCCATTTATGTTCATCTATGTTCTTTCACAAGGCTCGTTGCCTCATTTCTCTGTACTGACCATCCAGCTTCTTCTGCATCTAGCTGATGACTCTGCCCTTCTTCCCAGAGTCTTCCCTGTCCCTAGAAGTTCCACCTAACATCTTTCTAGCTATTGGCCATTCAGTTTTTTTATTACACCAATCACAGCAACACATTTTTACACAGTTTACAAATATCCCACAACATTTCCCCCTTTCTGTCTAAATAAAAGTACAGCAGTCTCCTTATTTTGTATCCTGCTTGTCCAATTTGGATAGCATACTGTCAGCAGTCAAGGCAAGGGCAGTTTCTTGCCTAGTGGCTAACTTTGTGTGTGTGTGTGTGTGTGTGTGTGTGTGTGTGTGTGTGTGTGTAATTGTTTTATTTGAATCTTTTTAAAAATATTTTTATTTTATAATTAATTTAATTTTACATATCAGCCATGGATTCCCCTGTCCTCCCTCCTCCCACCCCCTCAGCCTTCCCCCCAATCCACCCCCCATTCCCACCTCCTCCAAGGCAAGTCTCCCCTGGGGAGTCAGCCCAGCCTGGTAGATTCAGTTGGGGCAGGTCCAGTCCTCTCCTCCCTACACCAAGGCTGAGCAAAGTGTCTCAGAATAGGTCCTAGGTTCCAAAAAGCCAACTCATACACCAAGGACAGGTCCCATTTCCACTGCCTGGGGGCCTCCTAAACAGTTCAAGCTAATCAACTGTCTCACTTATCCAGAGGACCTGGTCCAGTTCCATGGGGGCTCCTCAGCTATTGGTTCACAGTTCATGTGTTTCCACTAGTTTGGCTATTTGTCCCTGTGCTTTTTCCAATCATGGTCTCAACATCTCTTGCTCATATAATCCCTCCTCTCTCTCACCAGTTGGACTCCTGGAGCTTCACCTGGGGCTTGGCCGTGGATCTCTGCATCTGTTTCCATCAGTCACTGGATGAGAGTTCTATCATGACAGTTAGGGTGTTCGGCCATTCGATCATCAGAGTAGGTCAGCTCAGGCACTCTCTCGACCATGCTAGAGAGGTCCCCAGAAATCCATAAAGATACCTCCACTATAGACTACTGGCCCAGTGGCTAACTTTGTCACAAAGAAAACTCCAGGCCAGGCGGCAGTGGCACATGCCTTTAATCTCAGCCCTTGGGAGGCAGAGCCAGGCAGGTCTCTGTGAATTTGAGATCAGCCTGGTCTACAGAGTGAGCTCCAGGACAGGCACCAAAACTACACAGAGAAAGCCTGTCTTGAAAAAAAAAAAAAAAAGCAAACTCCATATGGAGGTTCTTTGATGCCCATCATCCATTCTTGAAGTAAATTGTTGCTGCCAGAAGCAGATGTGTCTGGTTGTCATGAAAAGCCTTATGTTATTAAAACATCTTAAATGTCATTTTCTGTCCATCTCTGAAGTGTTTGAAGACCATCCATGTATTTAAAATATATCTATGTTAACCTTGAAAACATACCTAGCATGTCTATAAGTTTGATTGTTATAGATGACTAACTACTAACCTGTCTTTCTCTATTATCCTAAATAGCTTTCAAGGACTAAAACTTTACATTACACTTTTAAATAAGCTGCATAGGTACAATACCTAAAAGAAGAGTAGAAACATATATACAGTATAACAAAAAAGAGCCTTAAATTTGTATCAATATACAAAAATCCATACCAATATAAAATATTTGAGACTAGTGGTTGTTCAAAAGTAGACTCATCAATTCACCCTTTTACCCCATCATTTCTATACTATATCCTCCCTTTTTTCCTTCTGAAAGAGATCCTTGAATCAAATCTTTGCTCAGCTTTTTTCCTGACCATGACCAATAACATCTTGTAACCACCCCCCCTCAAACAATGACAAATATCCATAACCCAGAAAATGACCAAAAACCACCAACCCCACCTCTTGGGAATGTGGTGTTGTGTTCTCTAGACTTCTTCCTGTTGTCTGAGGTTGATGGCATCTTTAGGGGACCCTGAAAAACTTGGGATAATAGTCAAGTCCTGGGAGAGCTAACTGTATTATTTCTTGTTTAGTCTCTGTGTGATGGGAAAGTGTAGAGCTTACCTGAAGTCTTGGCTGTACAGTCTACAAGGTTGGACCATCTTAGCTAGCAGCTTTAAAGTTGTTCTGGATGCAGAATTTTGAGGAAGCTGCAACAGAAGCATTCTGGGAGGCTGGATCAGTTGGGCTACTTGTCTTCATTGGTGTTTCATCCTTTTTTCTTTCTGAAAACACACAATTCTTTTAAGTTTTATTTTATGTGCATTGGTGTTTTGTCTGCATGTATACCTGTATGAGGGTATCAGATTCCCTGGAACTGGAGTTACAGACAGTTGTGAGCTGCTATGTGGGTGCTGGACATTGAACCTGGGTCCTCTGGAATAGAAAGCAGTGCTGCTCTTAACCTTGAGTCACTTCTCCAGCCCCAACATACAAACTTTTAAAGGTAACATACATCTCTGCACTAACCCAAGTATGGAATATGCAGTGTGCACAAATCAGTTAAAGATGATTTTTGGTTCTATGTTTGAGACGGTAAAAGGCATCTGTTAACTTTATAAGTCCTTATGGACTGTATAACCAAACCTCTATCCATGCCATATGAAAGGATGGCATGTAATAATAAGTCATGAGGACTCTGTAGTGAACAAAATTTATCATGTCTCATTCAGTCTCAGAGCTGTTCCCATGTAGAGGAATCAACATATATGTCACATGTCCTATAGTCTTTCTTGGTTTCTTTTTCAATGTCTGTAGCCAAGATTTTCAGGAGGTCTATTCCCCCAATCAAATTTGTTCTTCACTAATTTTTAAGAGAATCATAACTTTTTGTCTCCCATGAAAACAAAGGCATAACCTCTCCCCGAACACAACATATGTTTTTACTTCCATTTTGAAGTTAAGACATTCTTAAAATATACAGGTTGGTTTAATTTAGCAGTTTTTATAATCCAATGTCTCTCAGCAGCTGTTGTTTTTGTACATTAACATTTTAAAAATTCAAAGTCAACAAAACACCATACAAGATCCAGATGCACTGTGTATTACCCATCTTTATATGGCTTTTTTATTTTATATTACTTTACTCTCTCCTTAAAGACTTTATTATTTTTAAACTATTTTTTCTATGACTATCTATACCCATTTTCACTGCATCTGTTTAAAGGTTTTCTTTGTCTGGACTGCTTGACTGTGCACCTGCAGCCTTCTCTGACCAGATGAGCCAAATCTTAAACTGCTAGGCTACCACCATATGACTCCACTTAACATATGGCATGCTAGCAGCTGGTTCTGCCCCCCTCAGTTCTGTGAGAGTCTAGCCTCATGCCAGCCAGTACCAGCAGAGCTGCAGTTACCTGGCCCAGATCTAGGGATTTGTTGGGTTTTCCTGTGGCAGGTGTTTATAGCCAGTGCTGACTGTTCAAGTGCTCAGTGGCACAGCAGGAACTCTTAAAAGAGCCATGCCTCTATATACCAAGCCTATCTGAGGGACCACTTTCTTAGGCCCTTTGTGGATATTCAAGCCTACATGTTGGGCACCATATGTAGTAGTAGCTTCTCTGTTCCACCCAGCCAGCTTCCAAATAATGACATGGAAGAGAAAGCTTGGCCTTAGTTTAGGCTTGTCCCACTAGCTCTTATAACTTAAATCAACCCATTTATATTAATCTACATTTTTTTTCACATGGTTCATTACCACATCTCTCTGTACTGCCCATCCTGCTTACTCCCCATTTAGCTAGCAACTCTGACTTCCTTCTTTCCAGAGTCCTCTCTGTCCCTGGAAGTCCCATCTAACCTCTTTCTAGCGATTGGCCATTCAACTCTTTATTACACAATCGCAGCAACATATTTTTACACAGTGTACAAATATTCCAGAACAGCCTTCCACCAGCAGAGTCTAGGCCAAGGTTTGTCATCAAAAGATGACTTTGGGATCCCTGGGCACCAGCCACTCCGGGGAAGACCTGCCCAACTTGGCCCCAGGTTCTGGCCACAGGGCAGGTTCCCTTCTAGCCCCACCAGGAAGGATCCCCTTCTCCAAGACCCCTGGCAGACCCTGCAGTCTCCATGCCCTGCCCCCACACCCATCCGCCCGAGCCCTAAGCCTCTTCCTGAGACTTAGAGGCCGGCCCCCAGCTCCCATCTTGCCCCGGACTTCCCTTCTGGAGCACAGGTGAGTGTCCTAGCTTGCCCCGGACCCCATCCCTGGGCACCAGCCACTCCGGGAAAGACCTGCCCAACTTGGCCCCAGGTTTTGGCCACAGGGAAGGTTCCCTTCTAGCCCCACCGGGAAGGATCCCCTTCTCCAAGACCCCTGGCAGACCCTGCAGTCTCCATGCCCTGCCCCCAAGCCCATCCGCCCGAGCCCCAAGCCTCTTCCTGAGACTGAGAGGCCGGCCCCCAGCTCCCATCCTGCCCCGGACTACCCTTCTGGACAAGAGCTCCCATCCTGCCCCGGACTTCCAATTTGGACAAGAGAGCTCCCATCTGGACAAGAGAGAGAGACTAGTCCCCTCCTCCCAGGCCGAGCCAAACAATCCTGCATAGGCCCCAGGTTTCAAACAGCCAACTCATGCAATGAGCACAAGATCTAGTCCCACTGCCTGGATGCCTCCCAAACAGATCAAGCCAATCAACTGTCTCACCCATTCGGAGAGCCTGATCCAGTGGGGACCCCTCAGCCATTGGTTCATAGCCTCAGTCTGTGGGGAAGGCTTTGCCCTGGAGGAGATGGGAATGGGGGGGGGGGGTTGGGGGGAAGGTGAGGGGGACGGGAGGGGGGAGAACAAGGGAATCCGTGGCTGATATGTAGAACTGAATTGTATTGCAAAATAAATTAAAATAAAAAAAATTTCTCTACAAATAAAAAAAAAAGAGAGAGAGAGAGAGTTCCTGAATCTGTCAGCTCTGTCTGAACCAAGTGTGCAGATAAGGCCAAAAACGAACCACAAGGAGATGGGCAGATGTCAAGGCAGAAACACATACAGCAAAATGAATAGCAATACAGCATCACCAGGCCCTAACCCTCCTCCAACACCTAGACCTGAACATCAGAAATTGGAAGAAGCAGAAGAAAACACCCTTATGAATGACATCATGAAGAAGCTAGAGGCTTGTGTAGAGGAAAAGACAAAAAAATGTGAAGAACGCTGTAAACAACTAGAGGAAAGGGCAAACAAATTAGAAGAAATCAATAAAGTCCTGGAAGAAAACAAAGTACTGAAAGAAAATCAAGAAAAATCAATGAAACAAATGAAGGAAACAGTCCAAGACCTGAAAAGGGAAATAGAAAAAATGAAGAAGACACAAACAGAGGGAATGCTGGAAATAGAAAATCTGAGTAAACGGTTGGGAACTTCAGATGCAAGTATAATCAACAGAATGCAAGAGATGGAAGAGAGGATCTCTAGCGTTGAAGATACAGTAGAAGAAATACATTCATCAGTCAAAGAAAACACTAAAGCCAACAGAGTCATGAACCAAAATGTCCAAGAAATTTGGGACACCATGAAAAGACCAAACCTATGAATAATAGGGGTAGAAGAAGGAGAAGAATACCAACTCAAGGGCACAGAAAATATATTCAACAAGATCATATAAGAAAACTTTCCCAACTTAAAGAAGGAAATGCCTATGAAGATACAAGAAGCCTATAGAACACCAAACAGACTAGACCCCCAAAAAAAGTCCCCTCACCACATAATAATTAAACAACTAAACGTACAGAATAAAGAAAGAATATTAAGAGCAGCAAAGGAAAAAGGCCAAGTGACATATAAAGGCAAACCCATCAGAATAACACCCGATTTCTCAATGGAGACTTTGAAAGCCAGAAGGACCTGGACAGATGTAATGCAGACACTAAGAGACCATGGATGTCAGCCTAGACTAATATACCCAGCAAAACTTTCAATCATCATAGATGGAGTGAACAAGAAATTACATGACAAAGCCAGATTTAAACAATACTTATCCACAAACCCAGCCCTACAGAAAGCACTAGAAGGAAAATTCCAACCTAAGGAAGTCAGATACACCCTCGAAAACACAGGCAATAGATAAAGCCACAGCAGTAAACCCCAACGAAGAGAAGTGCACACACACACATCACCACCAAAAAATAACAGGAATGAACAATCACTGGTCATTAATATCCCTCAATATCAATGGACTTAATTCACCTATAAAAAGACATAGGCTTACAGAATGGATACGAAAGCAGGACCCATCTTTCTGCTGCATACAAGAAACACATCTCAAATTCAAAGATAGACACTACCTAAAAATAAAAGGCTGGGAAAAGACTTTTCAATCAAATGGTCTTAAGAAACAAGCAGGTGTAGCCATCCTGATATCCAGCAAAATAGACTTCAAACTAAAATCAATCAAAAGAGATCAAGAAGGGCATTACATACTCATCACAGGAAAGATCCACCAAGATGAAGTCTCAATTCTGAACATTTATGCCCCAAACACAAGGGCACCCACATATGTAAAAGAAACATTACTAAAGCTTAAATCACATGTAAAACCCCACACATTAATAGTGGGAGACCTCAACACCCCACTTTCACCACTGGACAGATCTCCCAAATTGAAACTTAACAGAGAAATAAAAGACTTAACTGATGTCATGACTCAAATGGACTTAATCAATATCTACAGAACATTCCATCCTAACAAAAAATAATATACCTTCTTCTCAGCACCCCAGGGAACCGTCTCTAAAATCGACCACATACTTGGCCACAAAACAAATCTAAACAGATACAAAACAATTGGAATAACCTCCTGTGTTCTATCAGACCACCATGGTCTAAAGTTGGATTTCAACAACAACAAAAACTACAGAAAACCTACAATCTCGTGGAAACTGAATAATACCCAACTGAATCACCAATGGGTTAAGGAAGAAATAAAGAAAGAAATTAAAGACTTCCTAGAGATCAACGAAAATGAATACACCACATATCCAAACCTATGGGACACTATGAAAGCAGTACTAAGATGGAAATTCATAGCACTAAATGCCCACATAAATAAGATGGAGAAATCTCACACTAGTGACTTAACAGCACACCTGAAAGCTCTAGAACAAGAAGAAGCAAAGTCTCCCAGGAAAAATAGATGCCAGGAAATTATCAAAGTGAGAGCTGAAATCAATAAAATAGAAACAAAGAGAACAATACAAAAAATTAATGAAACAAAGAGTTGGTTCTTTGAGAAAATCAACAAGATAGACAAGCCCTTATCCAAACTAACCAAAAGACAGAGAGAGAACATCCAAATCAACAAAATCAGAAATGAAAAGGGGGACATAACAACAGACATTGAGGAAATCCAGAGAATCATCAGGTCATACTTCAAAAACCTCTATTCCACAAAACTGGAAAACCTAAAAGAAATGGATAACTTTCTGGATAGGTACCACATACCTAAGTTAAATCAAGACCAGATAAACTATTTAAATAGTCCAATAACCCCTAACGAAATAGAAACAGTCATTAAAAGTCTCCCAACCAAAAAAAGCCCAGGACCAGATGGTTTCAGCGCAGAATTCTACCAGATCTTCAAAGAAGAGTTAATACCAATACTCTCTAAATTGTTCCACACAATAGAAACGGAAGGAACGTTACCAAACTCCTTCTATGAGGCTACAATTACCCTGATTCCTAAACCAAACAAGGATACAACAAAGAAAGAGAACTACAGGCCGATCTCCCTCATGAACATTGATGCAAAAATACTCAATAAAATACTGGCAAACGGACTCCAAGAACACATCAAAACAATTATCCACCATGATCAAGTAGGATTCATTCCAGGGATGCAAGGGTGGTTCAACATATGAAAGTCCGTCAATGTAATACACCATATAAACAAACTCAAAGAAAAAAAACCACATGATCATCTCACTAGATGCAGAAAAGGCATTTGACAAAATCCAACACCCCTTCATGATAAAGGTCTTGGAGTGATCAGGAATACAGGGAACATACCTAAACATAATAAAGGCAATTTACAGCAAGCCAACAGCAAACATCAAATTAAATGGAGAGAAACTCAAAGCAATTCCACTAAAATCAGGAACCAGGCAAGGCTGTCCACTCTCCCCATACTTATTCAATATAGTACTTGAAGTTCTAGCCAGAGCAATAAGACAACATAAGGAGATTAAGGGGATACAAATTGGAAAGGAAGAAGTCAAGCTTTCCCTATTTGCAGATGACATGATAGTATACTTGAGTGACCCCAAAGATTCCACCAAGGAACTGATACAGCTTTATAAACACCTTCAGCAACATAGCAGGATACAAGGTCAACTCAAAAAATCAGTAGCCCTCCTATATACAATGGACAAAGAAGCGGAGAAGGAAATCAGAGATACATCACCCTTTACTACAGCCACAAATGACATAAAATACCTTGGGTAACACTAATCAAGCAAGTGAAGTACTTATATGACAAGAACTTTAAGTCCCTGAAAAAAGAAATTGAAGAAGATGTCAGAAAATGGAAAGATCTCCCATACTCTTGGATAGGCAGGACTAACATAGTAAAAATGGCAATCTTACCAAAAGCAATCTACAGATTCAATGCAATCCCCATCAAAATACCAACACAATTCTTCACAGGCCTGGAAAGAATAATACTCAACTTCATATGGAAAAACAAAAAACCCAGGATAGCCAAAAGAATCCTGTACAATAACACAACTTCTGGAGGCATCACGATCCCTGACTTCAAGCTCTACTATAGAGCTACAGTAATAAAAACAGCTTGGTACTGGCATAAAAACCGACATGTGGACCAATGGAATCGAATTGAAGACCCTGACATTAATCCGCACACCTATGAACATATAATTTTTGACAAAGAAGCCAAAAGTGCACAATGGAAAAAAGAAAGCATCTTCAACAAATGGTGCTGGCAAAACTGGATATCAACATGTAGAAGGCTGCAAATAGATCCATATCTATCACCGTGCACAAAACTTAAGTCCAAGTGGATCAAGGACCTCAACATAAATCCAGCTACTCTGAACCTGCTAGAAGAGAAAGTAGGAAGTAGTCTTGAACGCATTGGCATAGGAGACCACTTCCTAAATAGAACACCAGCAGCACAGACACTGAGAGAAACAATCAATCAATGGGACCTCTTGAAACTGAGAAACTTTTGTAGAGCAAAGGATACGGTCAACAAGGCAAAGCGACAGCCTACAGAATGGGAAAAGATCTTCACCAACCCCACATCTGACAGAGGACTGATATCCAGAATATAAGGAACTCAAGAAATTAGACATCAAAATGCCCAACAGTTCAATTAAGAAATGGGCTATAGAACTAAACAGAGAATTCTCAACAGAGGAAACTCAAATGGCTGAAAGACATTTAAGGAATTGCTCAACATCCCTAATCATCAGGGAAATGCAAATCAAAACAACTCTGAGATACCACCTTATGCCTGTCAGAGTGGCTAAGATCAAAAACACTGAAGACACCTTATGCTGGAGAGGATGTGGAGCTAGGGGAATTCTCCTCCACTGCTGGTGGGAATGCAGGCTTGTACAACCACTTTGGAAATCAATATGGCGCTTTCTTAGAAAATTGGGAATCCATCTCCCCCAAGATCCAGCTATACCAGTCTTGGGCATATACCCAAGGAATGCTCAACCACACCACAAGAGCACTTGTTCAGCTATGTTCATATCAGCATTGTTTGTAATAGCCAGAACATAGAAACAACCTAGATGCCCTTCAACTGAAGAATGGATAAACAAAATGTGGTACATATACACAATGGAATACTACTCAGCAGAGAAAAACAATGACATCATGAGGTTTGCAGACAAATGGATGGATCTAGAAAAAATCATCCTGAGTGAGGTAACCCAGACTCAGAAAGACAAACATGGTATGTACTCACTCATAGGAGGATACTAGATGTGGAACAAGGATGATTGGACTGCTACTCACATCACCAGGGAGGCTACCTGGAAAACAGGACCCCAAGAAAGACACGGGGATCACCCAATGACAGAGAAATGGAATGAGATCTACATGAACAGCCTGGACATGAGTGGGGGTAGTGAAGGGTGAGGGTCGAGGGAAAGAGAGCTTGGGGGAGCGGGAGATCCCAGCTGGATCAACAACAGAGAGGGAGAACAAGGAATAGGAGACCATGGTAAATGAAGACCACATGAGAATAGGAAGAAGCAAAGTGCTAGAGAGGCCCACAGAAATCCACAAAGATACCCCCACAACAGACTGCTGGCAATGGTCGAGAGACAGTCCGAACTGACCTACTCTGGTGATGGGATGGCCAAACACCCTAATTGTTGTGCTAGAAACCTCATCCAACTACTGAGGGATCTGGATGCAGAGATCCATGACTAGGCCCCGGGTGGATCTCTGGGAGTCCAATTAGCGAGAAAGAGGAGGGTTTATATGAGCGAGAATTGTTGAGATCAAGGTTGGATAAAGCACAGGGACAAATAGCCAAACGAACGGAAACACATGAACTATGAACCAATGGCTGAGGGGTCACCAACTGGATCAGGCCCTCTGAGTGGGTGAGACAGTTAATTGGCCTGATCTGTTTGGGAGGCATCCAGGCAGTGGGACCGGGTCCTGTGCTCATTGCATGAGTCGGCTGTTTGAAACCTGGGGCCTATGCAGGATTGCTTGGCTCGGCCTGGGAGGAGGGGACTGGACCTACCTGGACTGAGTCTACAAGGTTGATCTCAGTCTGCGGGGAAGGCTTTGCCCTGGAGGAGATGGGAATGGGGGGCAGGCTGGGGGGAAGGTGAGGGGGACGGGAGGGGGGAGAACAAGGGAATCCGTGGCTGATATGTAGAACTGAATTGTATTGAAAAAAAAAAAAAGATGACTTTGGAAATGTCAAGTCCAGAGATGGCAATGGACTAAAAAGAGCAAAATGAAACTTCCTAGTGACAACTGTGTGTCCCTCCTCCCTGTGTCTTTGTCAGCCAATAAACCACCTTTCCAGCATGTTTGGCTTCTCCACAGATGAGATCTGAATCATACATCACAGGACATGGTAACTAACAGGCAGTCTTTTGCATTAGTTAAGTTTCTACTGCTGTGATAAAACTCAATGACCAAAGGCAACTTAAGGAAGAGAAAGTTTATTTTGGCTTACCATTCCAGACAGATAAGAGTTCATCATACCAGGAAGGCATGGCAGCCAGAAGGTATGGTGGCCAAAGCAGGAAGCTGAGAGATCACATTCCTCTTCTGAAAAAAAAAAATGAAGCAGGGAATTGAAGTGGGGTGAGACTATGAACTCTCAAAGCCTATCCCAGTAACAAACTTCTTTGGTCAACACCACACCTCCTAAACTCCCCAAACAGCACCACTGCTTGGCGACCAAGTGTTCAAATGCCGGAGCCTATGGGAGACATTCTCCTTCAAACCTCAGTAGCACCTTTCACATACCCTTATTTGAGGGATATGAATGTTCTGTACATCCCTTGAACTGAAAGATCTCTTTCTCCTTCACTCTCTATATTCAGTTGTTGCATGGTGATGACCTTTCTCACAGACTCAAACTTTTCCAAACACAGGTCCTAACACCAAGCTCCAACAGTGATGTTGGCAGAGTGTGAAGGTGTGGCTGAGTGTGAAGGAAGGGATTTAGCCACATATCTAGCCTGACATCCAATCCAAGCAATAAACTTGAAATAGGAATCCCTGACCATTCTATATATTTTTCTAATGATACCAGACTCAGAAGATGAAGAGCTCTAATTAGCCATTGTAGTACTAAGTCAAAATTTCCCCCATTGTATCTCCAAAGGGTTGTAAAATGGGCCATATAAAAAAAGGAGACATGAAAAGCAGAGGAGTGCTTAAGTAGAAAAGTTCCAGGAAGGAAGGGAGGATGAACGAAGGGAAGGGGACATAAAATGACTAAAATTCATAATATAAATTTATGAAACTTTCAAGCAATTAAAAGCTATCTTTAAAAATCTAAAGAAGTAACAAATGAGGAGTCCTTGCCTTCTCATCATTTCTCCAACTAGAATTTCTTCAACACTGTACCTACCATGCACCAAGACAAAATGAAGAATGACATGTAATCCAGGAGTTTTCATGCAAAGGCAACTTCATGTTTTAAACATGAGTATCATGAATTACATAATTAGCATGGCATTCTACTTTGCTGCTGCCGTTACTGTGTGCCCAGCTTGAGAATTCTAAGGAGAATTTCTCTTTCCAGCTGCTTCACTCCTGTCCCTCTCAAGAAGATATTTGAAATGGTTTGGGTATTGACTTTGATTTGCGGTAAAGCGAAAAAGAGATGTAGGAGAAACCCATCAAATATGGACATCAGCGACAGAATTAGACTGTGGAAAACACAGCAGTGTGAGAAGGAGGGTAGCATGGTGCTTATGGAATATTAGCTTTGGATGTAAGCAGGATGGGCCTGAATAATTGCTCATCATGAACTGACTGTGACTCTGGCAATGGGTTTGATTCCCTAGTCCTCTGTTTTCTTAGATCTAGGATAGAGATAAGAATAGTACATCTCTTCTCCAATGGCTGAAAGTCTCCATAAGACACTGTGTATCTAGAATCTGGTATAAGACCTAGAATGTGTTGCTAAGCAATGGGCTTAGCCATTGTTGGAGTTTCTATTTGGGTATCCACTCATATTGGGCAATATGCTTATCCTTTCTGAGATTCAGTTTCCCCTTTTAAAAACAGTGATAATAAAGTATTTTACCTTAGGAAGCAAGAAATGTAAAAGACCAGTGCAGAAATTAATGAAGTTGAGACAACATGAATAGTATATAATCAATCCATCAAATGATTCTTTGAAATGACAAATATGATTGAAAAATCCCCTAACTAAGCCAACCAAAAGAACAAGAAAGAAGACCCAATTTAATAAAATCAGAAATGAATATTATAACAGATACCAATGAAATCTAGACAAACATTAGGAAATATTTTGAAAACTTACATTTCAAAACACTGGAAATTTATAATAAATGGATATATTCTAAATATGTATGACCTACCAAAATTAAATCAAGAATGTATAAACAAGCATTAAGATTGAAACAGTGTGGTTCTGACCTAGGTCCTCTGCACATATATTAGGGTTGTGTAGCTTGATATTCTTATGATGTTCCTAAAGTGGGAGTGTATATGGGGGAGCATCTCTGACTCTTGCCTGTCCTGTGACCCTTTTCTTCCTACTGAGTTGCCTTGCCCAGCCTTGACATGAGGGTTTGTGCCTGATCTTATTGTAACTTGTTATGCCATGTTCAGTTGATATCCCTGGGAGGCCTACTCTTTTCTGAAGGGACATGGAGAAGTAGTGGATCTCAGGGAGAGCAGAGGTGAGTGGGACTAAGAGGAGTGGAGTAAGGGAAAACTATGGTTGGGATGTAATATATGAGAGAAGAATAAATTTAAAATATATTTCAAAAAATATTCTAATAGTAGGAAAAGATTCTCTACAAAGAAAAGCCCAAGAATGGATTCACTGATAATTTTTACCAAAATCTTAAGGAAAAGCTAATACTAATACATCTCAGTACTCCACGGCATAAAAATGGAAATAAAATACCATATTCTATGAAGCCAGCAGTGCTGACACCAAAACCAGAGAAAGATACAATGAAAAAAAAACCTGCTTCCCTGATAAGCACAGGTGCAAAATTTCTTAATAAAAATATCTGAACTCAGGGACCATAACCAAGTTGGTTTTATCCCAGAGGTGCAATGATAATTCAATATACACAATCAATAAATGTAATGCAGCATATAAACAGACTTAAGGACAGAAAAGTCATTATCATCACATTAGATAAAGAGAAGTCCTTTAACAAAGTTCAACATTCCTTCATTATAAATGCTCTGAACACACTAGAAACAAAAGGAACTTATCCCAGCTTAATAAAGGCTATATGAAACAAACCTAGAGCCAACATCATGGGAGCAGGGGAATTGAAAGCATTGTCTCTAACATCAGGAGTGAAACAAATAGGCAAGGAAAAAACAAAAGCTATACAACTAGGGAAAGAAGAAAAATTATCCTTACTTGCAGATAAGGTGGTCATATGCTTAAAAGATCCTTAAAATGCCACAAGAAAACATTTAAAACTGACAAAAAACACTTCCTTTAATAAATACAGCAGAATGAGAAGTCAACATACAAAAAAACAATCCTTTCTACATACAATGGAGGTACCGAGAAAGGAAATTGGAAGGAAGGAAACCCCAGTTATAACAGCTTAAAAATAAATAATAAAACATCTAGGAATAAACCTAAGGAAGTAAGTGACCTCCATAATGAAAACTCTAAAACATTGTGGAGAGAAATTGAGGAAGACAGTAGAAGATGCAAAGACCTCCCATGCTTCTGGGTTGACAGGATTAGTATTGCAAACATGCGTATTTACCAAAAGTGATGCAGTTCCCATCAAAATTTCAGAGATGGGTTCCACAGAATGAGAACAAACAATTCTGAAATTGCTGTGAGAAGACCCTGAATGGGCCAGGTCAGTTGTGAGCTGAAAAGCAATGCTGAGGTCAACCAGATGGCTTGGTGGGTAAGGGTGATTCTGCTAAGACTGGAAAACGTGTGATGGCTGAGACCCTGAGAAAAGAACCAATGAGAACTTTTTGAAAATGACTTTTATTTAGCACAAGAAATAATGCCAAAATCTGACAAATGGGATTCCATTAAATTAAAACTTCTCTGCACAAAGCAGTCACCAGAAAAAAACAATCTACAGAATGGGAGAAAAATCTTGGCTAACTAGACATCAGACTGGACTGGTATCCAGAATATACAAAGAAGCATATAAATTAAATGCCTGAAATCTCAAATTACCCAATCAATAAATGGGTTAATGAACTAAATAGGAAATTCTCAAAAATAAGAATAAGTGACTAATGCATACTTCAAAGAGCATTCAACAACTTGGTTATCGGGGAAGTGTAAAATAAAACAGCCTTCAGAATCCATCTCACCCCAGTCAGAATAGTTACCATGAAGAAAGTCAATGGCACCAAATGCTGGAGAGAATGCTGGAAAGGAAGACTCTCATTCACTGCTGGTGGGGATGTAAACTTCCTGAGCACTGTGGAAATCAGTATGAGGAGGATTTCTCAAAAGAACAGAAAATAGAACTACTACATGATCCAGCTGGATCGTTCATGGATATATACCTGAACTCTAATTCAACATACCACAGAGACTCGGACATCCATTTGTTGCTTCTCTATTCACAATAGCTGGGAAATGGAATCAGCCTAGATGTCCAGGAACAAATGGGAAAAAAAATGTAGTGCATTTACAGAGTGGAATTTTATTCAGCTGTGAAGTGAAATGAAATATCATTTATAGGAAAATGGATGGAAGTGGAAATCGTTATGTTAAGCAAAATAAGCAAGACTCAGAAAGACAAATAGTGTTTTCTTCCTGAGTAAGATCTAGATTTGTGTGTGAGTGTGTGTGTGTGTGTGTGAGTGAATGTTTGTAAGAAAGAAAAGGGGAAGGGAGAGAAGGAAGGAGAGAAAGAGAGAGAAAACTACAGGGGGGGACCATTCATATGAAAATAACAAGAGGGCCTGGAGATGGGTCAGTCTGCAGAGCTCTTTCAGTGTAAGCATGACAGTCTGAGTTTGATTCCCAGAACTCACATTTAAAAAAAAACAAAAAACAAAAACCAAACGGGTAGGTGGTGGCACACATTCATAATCCCAGTACTTCAAGACTGAGAGAGGAAGATCCCCGGGGCATGCAGGCCTGCCAACCTACCCTACTAAGTAAGTTCCAGGTGTAAGAGAGAGAGAGAGAAACCAACAGTGTCTCAAAATCCGAGATGGACGGCATTTCCTGTGTTTCCATCCTGCTGATAGCGGAACTTGACTTCTACCATCATGTGAGCCAATTCCTCAAGGACCAGGTGAAATCCTATCACAAGGGAACCTCCCAAGAATCCACAAGCATGACCCCGGCTAGGACTCCTAGCAATAGTGGGTATGTAGCCTGACCATCTCCTGTGACCAGGCAGGACTTCAAGTGGAGGGAGTGGGACACCAACCCAGCCACATAACCTTCGTCATGCAGTCTGTCCTGCCTGTAGGATGTGCTGGGGCAAAGATGGTCTAGAGATTGAGGGAGTGGCCAACCAATGACTGATCGAGGCTAAAACCCATGCCAGGAGAATAAGCCCACCCCTAACACTGCCTGGAGCACCAGGACCCACAAAGTG